AGGAGGCTGGGCCGAGGCTTCCCCAGCATCTCAGCAGGAGAGTCCCAGAAAGGGAAGTCAAGAAGAACTAACTCAGAGGCAGGGGAGAAAAACAGCCCAGAAAAAACAAACACCAAACAGCATGCTGTCTGCTGAATAGGCAGGAGTGTGTGGAGCCCAAAGCAGGCAATTACCACGATTCACAAACACTGCAATTACAGAAAGGAAGAGAAGGTGAATCTGCCTCCCAGCAGGGCAGAGGCACAGCCAGGGACAAGGGGGACTGAGAAAACAACAGTGCCAGCCCCAGCTGCTCCTCGTGGTGTGGGAGTGGCCGTAACTGCCCCAGAATCTGGCCTTCTCCAGGTCCTAAGTCAGGATGCTGCTTGGAGGAAGCGAATCCATTTGAGATCGCGCCGAAATCTAGCCTGACGATAGAGCGAGGGCAGCGGTTATGGGACCCTGGAACACCCGGGAGAAAGTAAGGCCGGCAGGGCAGGCCCATCATGAGCAGAGGAGCAAAGCTTCCTCCCCAAACAGCCCCACTCGCTGCCCGCCCTGACTTGTGCTCTGGCCTTCCAGAAACCTGGGGTCCCAGCCGCACAGAGAGGGTAGAGGCCAGGCTGCTGGTCACACCTGGGCACTGCCACCTAAGTGTGTCCTTCAACGGTGACTAACAACCCATTCCCAACTCCGAACACTAAGATGTAATGTTTCTGAGATCTTTTAACAGGTCTTTCATTGTTCTTTCTGCCAAAGAAGAGCTTCCTGCTTCAGTATCGTCCAAAAGGCTCAAGACACATGTTCCCACAGTCCTTCCCACACAGCCGCCTTCCCAAAGGGCTCCATCCCCTCTTGGAGAAGCCCAGGCTGCAAAGCTCCCAAAGTGCCTTTTAACCAGGAAGGAACAAAACAAAACGAAATTCCTGCAGAGGCCAAGAATGGCTGAGACCCCAAAGCCCTCAAAGCCCCAAATCACCCCAATTCCAAATCGCCGTCCAAATTACCCAACTCCGACCCTCCGGCGCCCAGGTTCCTCCCAGATGCGCACTAGTAATAGCCCGAAAGTAATGGAGGGACCGAGACGGAGCCCTTTTTTCAAGTCAGGGAAAGCACGGAGGAGGCAGGAAGGTGAGAGGAGCTTTTCGACGCCTCCAAGCCCTGGGGCTTCCCGCCTCCGTCGTGGGGGCGCGCGGCAGGTCCGGTACCAAAGGTCCGGCCAGTCCCGCCCGGCCGCCCGCGGCCCGGCACCCGCCTAACAGGAAATTCCACCTGTGCGCCCAGCGCCCGGGCCACCAACGGGCACAGGAGTGGGGCTTGGCCGAGCCCGAGCGACCGAGCGCCGCGCTGCAGGGCTGGGGGCGTGCGGAGCCCGGTGCTCGGCGCCCGCTCCCCGGGGACCCCGGCCCTCGCCCACCTCCTTCCGCGAGCTGTACTTGAGTCCCGCGCCGAAGTCCTTCGGGCCCCCTCCGCCCTTGCGGGCGCGATCGCTCCGCATGGCTCCGGTGGCCGCTCGTGGGTCTCAGAGGCGCGGTCCCTGCAGACGACCGGCTCCCATGGCCCGCGGACTCGGGGCGCGGGGCGCGCGGGGGGCAGAGCGGCGGGGCAGGCCCAGCGCGCCCGGCCGGCGGCGGTGGCGGTGGCTCTCCCTGCTCCCGGCCGGCGCAGGTAGTTTCGGGGCGTGGCCTCCCGGGACCGCCCCGCCCCGCCCCGCCGCCCGCGGGAGGCTCCGCCCCGTGCGAGGCCGAGGAGAAGGCGCCGCCCGCAGGCGAGCGGGCGCGGAGGTGCGGCCGCTCGATTGGTGGCCACCGAGGAACTCGCGGGGCCGCCGCGAGTCCCCTCCCCCGCCCTTCCGCTCCTGCGAGGGGCCTTTTCCCCCGGGAAGGAGGCCTTCCGTCCGCTCCGACCGCCTCTTCTGTCCCTTCCTCGTGCGTTTTCTCTCCCCACTGGGTCTTTCACCTCGGTCACTTTGCCGCACGACTCCCCTCAATTCTGACCCCTCCGGAGCCAAACCAGCCCCGAACGGCCCGCGACCAGCCTCGCCGTCGGGCCACAGCCCTCCTTTCCCCCGCCCCCACCCCTCGTCCTGCGGCCGTAGCTGCCTCTCCTTCACTGTTGGACGCGCTTGCGGTGGCCTGCGACCCGCGCTCCCCTGGCAGGTCGCCAGAGGTCTGGGTTGCTCGACGGAATGTCCCCTTAGGCGTTCCCAACGTCCTTCACCCATTTCCACCATCTGATACTGACCGATCCTGTCTTCGAATCCCCGCCTTCCCTGGATTCCGGTCCTACTTTCTGGCCCCTAATGTCACGGTTCCTAAAGTTTTCTCTTCAGTTTAAAGATAAAGTATAAAGGAAAGAGATAACTTTATCTCTTGGCAACACATCTCATCTTACGGCTTCAGATAGGTAAACTGCCTCCCTGGCATAGACATCACCAAGGAGTGCCAATTCTGCATTAGTAATTGCCTGGGAACTTCTCCATTTAGGTTCTTCCGGTATTCCATAGCCAACAAATATTATTGAGCACATATTATGTGCTAAGCGCTGTTCTGGGTACTGGGAAACGAGTGAACAAAATAAAAATCCCCGCTTCAGAGTTTGAGACCAGCCTGAGCAAGAGTGAGACCCTGTCTCTACTAAAAACAGAAAGAAATTAGCTGGACAACTAAAAATATATATAGAAAAAGTTAGCCGGGCATGGTGGCACGTGCCTGTAGTCCCAGCTACTGGGGAGGCTGAGGCAGGAGGATTGCTTGAGCCCAGGAGTTTGAGCCCAGCTTGAGCAAGAACGAGACCCCATCTCTACTAAAAATAGAAAAAATTAAGCTGGGTGTGGTGGTGTGAGCCTGTAGTCCCAGCTACTCGGGAGGCTGAGGCAGTAGGATCGCTTGAGCCCAGGAGTTTGAGGTTGCTGTGAGCTAGGCTGACGCCACGGCACTCTAGCCCGGGCAATAGAGCGAAACTCTGTCTCCAAAAAAATAAAAAAATAAAAATCCCTGCTTTGAAATCAACAAGCCCCAGACTTCTTTCTGGGACTTGCCCATCTACTGTTGTTTTCTGTAATTATAATGGTATCATGCTCCTAGGCTAAAATTCTGGAATCATCTTTGACTCTCCACCTTCCTTACATCTCATATCCAGTTAGTCAAGGCTTTCTCTCAAGCAGCCAATGGTATTGCCCTTTCTTTCCTCCCCGTTTAGAAGACCCTTATTCAAGCCCTTTGCCTGGTTTTGTGTAAGAAGCAAAAGGACCTCCTGCCTCCAGTTGACCACCCTCTGATCTCTCCTACATACAATAATCAGGTCCATCTTCTGAAACCACAGCTCCTTTGAAAACTTCAGTGTCTCCTGAACCAAACCTAACCTCCTTTAGCCCGGATTCCATGCTCTGGCCATCCTCCCTTGCGGCCACGCCTCCCAGCATTTCAATTTGGAACCCCCCTCTCTGCAGCCGGACTTTCTGACCTTTGCACCTTTCCTAAAGTTGCTCATCCACTGGGAAGCCCTCCTGCTTCACATTTACCTCTGCATATTGGGTCAAAGTCACCTCACCGCTGGAGTTGTTAGTGTTGTTCACTGAGTGTTTCTAGCTCTCTGAGTACAGACTGGACTTGCACTGCCTCCCTTTTGGAGTTAGGTATGGCCAGCTGTAGCCAGAAACTGTCAAACGAGGGGATATACGGGACTTCCACACAGGGGCAAAGGGAGGCAATGCACGATTCCCACACTTTCTTCTGAGATTAAACCTCTGTCACCTGTGACCCTAAGTGGCCACAATGAGCAGAAACCCCTGCTGATGGGCACTGGATGTGAAGCATGAATGGGGAGTCAGCTTTGGGTTGTTAAACCACTGAGAGTTAAGTACTGTTCATTATTGCAGTGAAACTAGCTGCAATGATATATACTACCTTCTCCCTGAGGTACTCCCTCCTTCCAAACCAGGACTAGGTCTGTTTATACTTCTCTCATGAAACTTACCACTTTTCCATTGCATTTCTATTTTTTTTTTTTTTTAAGACAGTCTCACTCTGTCGCCCAGGCTGGGGTGCAGTGCCATGATCATAGCTCACTGCAGCCTCAAACTCCTAGGCTCAAGCAATGCTCCTATCTCAGCCTCCTGAGTAGCTGGGACTACAGGTGTGCACCAGCTTACTTTTCTATTTTTAATAGAGACGGGGTCTCGCTCTGCTCTTACTCAGGCTGTTCTCGAGCTCCTGTGTTCAAGCCATCCTCCCTCCTGAGCCTCCAAGAGTGCTAGGATTACAGGGTGAGCCACTGCACCCAGCCCCACCTTTTCATTGCATTTCTGTCTGTGTCTTACCTGCCTTTGAGTCCTCAGAGCCTAGCACAGTAAATGGTGTCAGTTTAATAAAAAGGAAAATGAATCTGACACCTCCCATCATATAAAGCATTCCAAAGCTAAATAGAATATACCAAAAAATTTTTTTTGCCTTGGATTACCAGTGGCACAATACCCTTCAGTGACTGTGAATGACTGAAAGTAAGCGGGATCCAATGTGACATAAATGAGATGGCACTCCTGGCACACAAACCTGCTATGCTGCTGTCAAAGGAGTGACTCGCATTTGTCTTCCAGGTTCAAAGAGCATCATCTTTTATCTCACAGAGCTCAGCACTCGGGGCCATCATTTGAATTCAGTACACATGCAAGGCATGGACTGCAAATCCAGATGAAGAGGAAGCTATGCGGGCCAAGATCGCTGCCCCAGGACCGCGGCATCAAGCCAGCTTGTTGAATGCACCCTTCGGGCACTGCTGTGTGCGTGCCTATGACGGAGAAGAAGTGTAGCTTCTATTAACCCCATTCAGTCTCATCCTCATAAAATTATGGTATGTGAGGTAAGTGCTTTTGGTCCTAAATTGTAGGGGAAGAAACCCAAGAGCCTAAAGGATGTGGTCACATGCCCACACTCATAGGGAGTAAATCCAGCTCAAAGCCACATTTCCACCCGAGGCCCGTGTCATTTCCCTGCCATAGAAGGAGGGACTCACGACCAAACTGTCCAACCTTCGCCACCCCCACCAGGCCTCCTCTCCATCCCCAATACCCCAAAGCCACCATCTCTCCTGTCTCCAGGACGTCATCCTCTTCCTGCCCCCAGGACTGCCTGCTGGGAAGGTCACGCCTGTGCCCCTGGACCCCCTCAAGGGCCTCTCCAGCAAGCTCCAGTGTCCTTGGGTGTGCAAGCGTGGGCCTGACCACAGGCTGAACGACACTGGCTGAAGCTGGTGGTCATGTGGGAGCCAGAGGGGCCACGTCAGGTGGACCCAGCCCAAGTTTAAAATCACCAGCGCCCTGTTACTGTCCAAGACAGCGGGGCCGGGGGCAAACCCCGCTGGAGCAGATTGTGGCAGGACTGCAGGCAACGCGCACTCCTTCAAGGCGGAGACGTCTGCAGACAGCAAGGGGTGTGGGAGAGGCTGCGAGTGAACAGAATAAAGCAGAATGAGCCAGTTGTGGAGCCACCATTCGTGAAGGTGCTTGAACTTTCAGGAACAACCAGGTTCGTATGTCGGAACCTATTAATAGCACCACTTCTGCTTTTGTGCTGGTATAGCCCGTAGCACTTCCCTGCGGAAGGTACTTTGTGGGAAAAACGCACTTTCTAAATACCAGTTATTTAGCATCATCCACAGCCCTGGCCCCAGGAGCTGCCCCATGTGCCCGCAGCCCTTCCTCACCCTCCCTGCCTCCTTCCCCCAGTGAGATCCAAACCCAGCCAAAATCCCATTGCTGGGAAACTCCCTGGGCATAATCAATCTCTTCTTCCTCAGTTCTCCCAGAAATCGCTACACACCCCAATTAGGGCTTATATTGTAGTGTATTTTGATTTTCTTGCTACACATAAGCGCACTTGAAATGCTATTGCAAGAAAGAGTGAACAAGGACAGTCCCTGACGCGGATTAGTGTCTGTATGGTGAGCCCTTGTTCGTCTGTCTGCTGTTGGCTTCCTCCACTTACAATTCAGGAATAAAAGCATATCATAATTTTACGAGGATTATACCAAAAGGGTTTATCCTAATAACATTTGCCTACACTTCTTCCTCACCTGTGCACATTGGGTGCATTCATGAGCTGGCATGACGCAGTGGTCCTAGGAGAAGGATCTTGGTCTGCACAACTTTCTCTTCATCTGCATTTGCACCTAATGCCTTGTATAGGTATTACATTCAAATGATAGTGCTGAGCACCTCCGTGGGGAAGACACTTACTTAGCTCTGTGAGGTAAAAGATGGTGCTCTAGGGAGCTGGGTGTGGTGGCCTACCTGTTGTTCCAGCTACTAAAGAGGCTGAAGATCGCTGGAGCCCAGGAGTTCGAGGCTGCTGTGCGCTATGATGACGCCTGTGAATGGCATGTTAGCCTGGGCACAATAGTGAGACTCGATCTCTAAAAGAAAAAATGGTGCTCTAGGAACCTGGGAGACGATATGAATCCCTCTGCACACACAGCAGCAGAGCAGGTGTGTGTGCCAGGAGTGCCAGCTCGTTTATGTTCAGATCTGGCATCTTAGCACATGGCTTCATCGTCCATTCAGTCAGCGTTCCAGATGACATCGAACGAATCACCACTCTGTCAGTCCTGCCTCCAAAATACGT